AGTTCGCTGTACATCAATATTTTCAACGACATGCAGCCAATCTGAATATTTTTCTAAGAATTTAGATCTAGTACGATTCGACTTTGCCCAGTAGTGGGAAATTCGTTTACAAATATTCTTAATTTTAAGGCTTAAAGTCTCTAAATCAATATTTTCGATGTCGTCAGAAAGGGATGATGTTTCGGTCAAAGTGCTCAGGACGTGTTGCATTTTTTCATTTGGATTACCCACTTTAGAGTGCCAAATATCAAAAATTGTCATCCTCGATACAGAACATTTGAAAAATGTACCTAAAACAATATGAAAGCTGAACTTAAAAAAAAATTAATAATTCAATACTATGGACATGCATACTTTGACACCCCTTTAAGCCAAGAAGAGGCAGCAAGATGCAAATGAAACTTATAGCTCTTAATAAGGACATACTCCTTATTCAAAAACCATATACGTCAGGTGCAGCTCAGCGCAGCCAAAAGTTGTAGGTCTAAAGGAAATTAAGTTATGCCAAAAATTTTCACCAAAAAACTGCCTTCAATAAAAAAATTATATAAAAAAAATATGCATAAAAAAAATTAAAAAAAAAATTGATAATAAAAGTACATACCATGCTCTTGGATCTCCATGCTTTCACAACACGTAAACACTTGATTTGGAATAGTGACACTCAAAAACAAAGTGATTAAGTTTCGATGACTCACACGTGGTGATAATTAGTCTCGCGATGCGCTCACTTCCGATGCACAAAAGTGAATGATAACGTGACCTAATTACATTGATATTTATAGTTTTTGGAAGCTTGTTAACTAGTTACTAACTTAGTGAGTTGATCTAACCGGGATAAGCCAATGATTTTTTTGATTTATGGCCTATGGGGGAATCACAGTGCTCCGGTCAGACGGGAAGCTAGCGATCCAAGTGCACAGCCCTTTTGGAAGCCCGTAAGATGGTAGCTTCGATAGAAGTGCCTTGTGCCAGACCCGATCCAAAGCCTTAGCGATGTCTAAGCTCACGGCCATTGCTTCTCCCTTGCTCTCGATGGCAGCTACTCATTAGTTCGTGAGATATGCAAGAAGATCACCAGCACTATGGCCGCGGCTATATTAATAAGAGATGGTTAGTGTGATGATATTGAACGGAAAGTAATAGTCGATATCAGGTAAATGGAGCTCTGTATACCTTTATGGGTAGCCAAAACGTGTCAAGAAAGTGTTGGGTGTCCAACCCTGATGTACGGTAGCGAGTATTGGGTGTGACAGAAGAAGCATGAAATTAGGGTAAATGCTGTTAGTATAAGAGCTTTGAGTAGTATGTGCTCTGTTAGTGCGTCTTCAAATTAGGCGTTTATAGAACCGCTGCAGTACAAGATACAATTGTTTGAAGAACCCAACGAAAGACTGAACCCCAGAGAGGTCAGCGTCTTCACTGATGGATCTAAAACAAATTCAGGAACAGGTACTGGGGTATTCTCAGAAGACCTCAATATCAGGATATCAACACCACTTGGTGACCACAACACAGTATTCCAGGCTGAATGCATGGGCATCAAGTTGGCGGCAGAAGCAATCATAGCGAGAAGAGTTAGAACCACCCCAATCGAATACTCTCCGACAGTATGTCAGTACTATGAGCACTGAACAGCTATGACATAAACTCAGGGCTCATTTATGAACGCCATCAAGCACTCATGGAGGTATGTATACAAAACCACGTAACCCTACAGTGGATTAAAGGACACAGGGGCTCACGTGGCAATGATGCAGCAGATGAACTAGCCAGAAAAGGGTCGGAGACGGACGCTGTAGGACCCCCATAGTGTCCCTCCCCTACCAATGGTTCAGAACAACTATACACAAAGGTACAAAATCGTCACATAATAATGCATGGGCGACCCTTACGGTCTGTAGACAGGTGAGGGAAGCACTCCCAACGCTCAATACCAGTCTATCTCCAATATTTATTAAACTCAAAAGGCAAGAGCTTCTTTAACTGCCGCCCTAGCGGGTCATGGTCCATACAATAAACACCTTTTCAATTTAGGTATCACAGACAGGCCACTATGCAGAGCGTGCATGGAGGGGGAGGAAACGGCTGCGCACATTCTACTACAGTGCTCCGGCGTGGCCAACTACAGGGTAAAGTACCTTGGAGTGCCAAGGTCGCTCCCCGAAGTCTTCAGCAAACCGAGGAGGCTGCTGAGATTCCTGGAGGAGCTCGGGTGGCACGAGTAGGACCATGCACCCACCACACGCAAAATAGGCGTTGACGGCGAGTTGCGGACACCAGCCCGTTACACCAAGTACCAAGAACAGCTGCAGTGCGCCACTGTGGCACTGCATCTGCGCCACTACGAAAAAGGAATAAGAGCGTCGTTTAGTGAAAGATTATGTGGTCAAGTAGAAAGGATGGATGTTAGTAGATTTAAACGTGGGAAGAGGTCGAAATCTTGTAAAAGTAAGGAATGTTACGTCGTGCGGGAGGATCCCTTTGTGCACCCCCGATTGTTACTAGTCAGAGAATGGCTTTTGATTATTGAAAACAAAACACGTTGACTGACAAAAATAAAGCTACTGTTTCTTGATTAAATTTTTATTGAATTGATATTCAATTATTTTTTGTGA